GTGTCGACGGAGGTCAAAATAAAGCGAAACCGCGGACATTTTATTTTAATGTTTTTATGTTATAACAAGTGAATGCCAGTAGATCAGCGCGGGCCATGCATTTGCGGCCGGATCTCGCCCGCGGGCCGCTAATTGGGGTTGGCTGCTATAGATACTACCCCAGTTCCTCACGAGTCTAAAAAAACAACTCACGTCAACGCACGTAAGCAACGTGGGCGCCAACGTGAGCGCCCTCGTGACCAAAATATTTGACGGCGCTGATTGGCTGAAATTATGTTTCGGCGGCACAGTTTACTATTGAGACTTTTGCAACGTGCTGGTTGCTGCTGTTTGGCTCGGGGGCAGCGCCCCGTAATGATAAACTAATGCCAAGGGCAAGGCCAGGCAGGAAACATGTGACTTATCAGTAACTTTAGACATCGTAACACAATTTTAAACAAGATTTGATTGTAGATTATACATTTTACTGATACCAATTGTATGATATTTACCTTGTTCATTAAAAATAAAAAATATAAAATATAGGCCTATATATTTTTGAAATATATATATATTTTTTTATTTAATATTTTAAAAAAATAAAATAAATTGTATGTGGGAAGAGGTGGGGCGGTGCCCCTAGCGCCCCTATGGGCCGGCCGCCACTGAGCAGGAATATTGCATTATAGTTCCTTTGGGGCAGCTTTAAAAAAAAAAAAGAAAAAGCAATCTAGTCTTGGGCAGAAATACACTAAACATAGATGTTCTGAAATATATTTCACCATCATAAATACATAGCTTAGTAAAGGTGCTGTATTGCTGTGATGTATTGTAGTGCACAGCACACTCCCCTATGGGTCAGTATCTCTTTGCAGTATTGTTATTGCTGTGAACATAACAGTGCCATTTTTATTCAGCTTATTTGTCAAAGTATAAATAAAAGAATAATAAAAAGCTAAGCTCCCTTGTCTGCTTGCCATCTGATTATTAAAGTAAAGTTAGCGAAACCTTCAACTCAGGCTCACATTAGGTAGGCTGTCATTAAGGTGGACCAGCGATCCTCAGTGTAGTGACAAGCAAAATGTCAGGGAGGTATGACGAAGTAGTTAACGTACAAAGCCTGTAACAGTGAAGGGGTTTGACCTGGCACGCTGACACTTTCATTGCACATAAAGCTCAATGAGGAGAAGCCTTCAATATAGCAGTGCACTCTGCACCTGACTTTGACTGTGGGTTTTAGTCTCACCTAGGTCGGCGTACTGAGAGTTACAGAACTGTCTTCTTCCACCAAAGCAGATGTCAAAAGGCAGCTCATTGGGTCTCCGTAGTTTTCCGCCATTATCGATGGCTGCGAAAGCATCGTCCATGTTGTAGAAAGTGACAAAGGCGTAGTGGTCACTGTGGGAACCAAAAGGTGCTGGGTTTAAATACTGATGAATGTTAAAAAAATAAAAACATAATAAAACATACATCAGTTGTGCACACTCACCCTCTATCTCTAAAGTGAAGGGACACACACTCTACTTCTCCGAACTGACAGAAGCGTTCCCTCAGCTCCTCGTGTGTCATAGTCCTGCAGATGCGGCCGACATACACCACCCTGCGCTCATCCTGTAGGGAAGGAAGTTTAAGAATTACTTATTTGTCCACTGAAAAACAAATACAATCACAGACACATAAAGCTGACATGTTATTTTTTACTCACTATGGCTTTAAGTTTCTGCATCCTGATCTCGTGCTCTCTTCGGAGCTTCCTGGACTCTCTGCTGCTGGAGGGTTGAGAGGGGGATAGAGAATACTCATTAAAGACAAATGAAAAAATAAACAGCCACTTTTCTTCTATCAATTGTCAGCATTTACTAACCTGTAAACATCTCTAAGCTTCCGACGGTAAACCCGCTGTGATGGTGATCTGGATGGGGACCTGGACTGGGACCAAGATCTGGATCTGGACCTGCTACACTTCGACATCCTTGAGTACGACAACCTGTAGCGCCGAGGTGGGGAGCGGGAAACGGAGCGTGATGAGGATGAACATGAACTGCTCTCTGAACGCTTGTGACGACGCCTGCGAGAATGACAAATGAAGATATTAGGAGAGATGCACAAAGAGGAAGAACATAGTCTGACTGTGTACATAACACATAAGTCAGAACACATAAGAGAATAATTACTTTAGTCTTTTTGGAGAGGGAGATGCAGCGCTGGATGAGGACGACGACGACGATGAGGAAGAGGAAGCAGAGCTGGAGTCCGAACAAGGGGCTCTCCCTCGATATCTCCTCCTCTCCCTGCCTCTGGAAGGAGGGCTGGGTGGAGGTGTGGGCAGAGTGCACAGGGGTGTCTCAAGACTACAATCTTGCTCGGTGGCAGCGATTCTTTTAACAACTTTGTCTGTGGACCGACTCGTCTTTGCGGAGTCATCCGCAGCCCTGATGGGGGGGTTAACGTCACAGGTGGAGGTCTGTTGTTTGCATTCAGCAGCAGCGATCGAGTCACTGGTATTCCTCTGTAATTCATCAGTTATTTTCGGCTCATCCTTGGGTTTAGATGTTCTGCAGTGCTGAGCGGCACTTGTCGTTGACCCGCAGTAATCGTGATCGATGAACACAGCCGAGTACATGGGAGGAGAGGGACGAGCAGCAGGGAGCTCTGGGAGGTTCGTGTGTGTCCTCTTGAACGGCAGAGGACGGGGGTCGATAATCTGAATGGCCTTGGACAGAGGATTTTTGCGCCTTGCTGGCTGATGTTGTTGAGTGCTGAGGATGATTTCAGTGCCGAGGGGCTCTGGGATGTCAGGTGACGTTTGAAGGTATGGGGAGTCCCTGAGGGTTTTTGGATTTGGTACAAGTGCTTCCACTGCAGGCTGAGTTCTGTCCAAGTGTCCGTCTGTCAGTACGTTTGAAGATGAGGTAGCAAGTTTGAGCTCTTTCTCTCCAACCCTCAACCCTTGAGCTAGATGAGTGAGAAAAAAAAATCGAGTTAGCATCTGACATCTAGTTGCTAATAACAACAGATCGCCACTGGGCTTACAACTAAAGACACAGCCACGCAAAAACTGCGGCATGTGTACGGCTCCTTATGGGTACTGCAATATTTGAAGTGCCGGAGCAGCGTTGTGGTGCTTTCCGTCAGCACTACACCACGTGATGACACGTTAAGCTCATGTTGTGTTCAAGGAACCTGTCTTTGGCCAGGAAAAACAGGCACTCGCTTGTTTAATTATTTTGCGGTCTAGATTTCTTAAAAAAAAATTTAAGTGAGAAGTCAGTCCGTGAGTCGGATCCCCCCACCCCCCCCCCAACAATGAAAACTCTTCGGTTCTCCACGAATTACACCCAAATCAGTATTAAAAAAGCAACTAATTTGCATGCATGCAATTGGAATGATCCTTTCCAATCAACTTTTTCGCAGTCACCCCTAGTTAACAGTAATCTGATTACCCACCTTGTGTTTCCTCAAACTGTTCCAGTAGGCTGGTGAGATCGGGCGCTTCGATTCCTGAAGAAGAAGAAGAACAAACAGACATGAAACTTTTGAAGATGTTAATTTCTTAGTTAGACCTTCATCAAAGTGAACTCAACAAAATCACCAATGTCTCGACAGTTTACCTGAGTCGGCTGGTTTCTCTAAGGCGGATACACTGGGGGGAACCTCTGATAACGTCTCCTTCACTGGTGTGGGAGCATCTAGGGGAATAGGCGGTGCTGTGAGGGAAGGACGCTTCATTTCCCTCACTGTATCCGGACCTGGTGACGGAGGATTCTTTGGTTGCAGCTTGACTCCTATCGTCTGGTTTGGACTGCTTCTCTGAGGCTGCAGGGTTTTGAGCTCTGAGGAACATTTGGTTTGTGTTGAGGTTGGGCACAGTGCTTGAGGTCTGGAGGTGACACCTGAGGCTATCTCTGTGAGCTTGTTTTTAATTTCCTGTAAAAGGGTGGAGTAGCCCTGGTTCACTAACAACACCTCAGGACTCGTGCCGGAGGTGGATGGCTGTCTTTGAGTTGATGTGCCTGAGGATTCAGTTTGAATTTGATGTAAGTGCTTGATGCTGTCAGAGTCTCTACTGCAGAACTCCACTTTGGACTCTGATGAGGAGTGGTCAGTAGTGGGCAGTGTTGTCTGGCTCGTTGGCAAATGGAGAAAGACGGGGTTTGGGGGATCAATATTGAGAGGCTTTTTTATTGGACTTTTTTTGCTCTCTGAAACATTCTGATTAACTGTGACGTTTGCCTGCAGACTGGTGGGTGAGAGGATTTTGGATTCAGTTCTTGGTCGCTTTAACCCGCTGTGACGTGCTTGAGTGGAGGGGTGAGGCCTGGGCTGAGTTTGAGATTTATGATCGGCAGAAGTTCTCCTACTGTCTGGATTATGGTGCGCTGCCTTTGGACAGCAGCTGTTTTGTCCATGTAAACAGATGGGGGTCAGCTCTGTGGGGGGCTCAGAAACGCAGGGCCACTTGGTGATGTTGTTCCCCTGTTTCTCCACCAGGGGCTGCCTCCTCTTGCGCAGCTGTCTGTACTCTTGGAGGCTGAGCGATTTGGCCTTTGTCTCAGCTTTAAGTAGAGAAACCTCAGCCGTGTTGCTGTTCATTTCTGAGGACGATGTTTGGGGTTCAAGTGGGGAGCCCGCTGAGTTTTCAATTGCTTTGGTGACGTTCAGTGGAACAGACACACTTTGACTCATTAGATTTGACTCGTTTAATTCTTCTTCTGCCGATTCATCGAGTGAAACCACCTGAACGGGGCCAAAGCTCACCTTTTTCTTCTCTCTGGATGGGGGAGTTCTGGATGATAGTACATTCAGCAACGCGCTCTTTAAGACGCTGTCATTATCTCTCTTTTCTTCTTCCCTATTTACTTCTCCCACCTCGTCATCAGAAACAACATTGATCTCTTCGTCGCTGTCCTCACTGGGTCTCTCGTACTTCCACACCTCTTCCTGAGAGAACAATGTGTGCTCCTTCAGTTTATCCGCCTCCTCCTCCTCCACATGCAGCTTCAGGCAGTAGGGGTGCATGAGCTTCACCAGGTTGACCAGAGAAGTGGAGGTGAAGATCTCCACTTCATTCTCTGCTTTTATATTTTGGGAGTGGATACATTTTTGTTTTTTGAACAGATGTGAAGGGTTGGTTCTCTCCAATTTGCTTTCCGCTTCTTTGTCTCCATCAATCTTTATCGAGAGTGTTCCATTTCGTGATTTGGATCTTGGCCTCAGCCTTTCATATAGTGAAAGATCCTAAAGACAGAAAAAAACAACAAAAAAACACATTTAGATCTTTGAAGTGTTTATATTTTTTCACATTTTGCGTAAATAACATATTTTGCAGTTACTTTCCTATTTTGTTCGTATCACCTAAGCCTAAACCATCATAGCAAGAAATGTAAAAACAGAATTCATCTTTGGATTTTCAAGGTTCTGACAGTCCTTGAACCCATCGTGTGTGACACACAATTTCAATTAAAATAGTGATATTTTGGAAATATATCGGATGGAACAAATAACTTATGCTCTAAGGATCCAGACAGACATATTTAGCAAAAGGTGGAGTCACGCCACAACTGTGCTGATCCAGTAAGTTCATTCTGATTTTCCCACATCTTTTGAACCACTTCAGGGTCTTACACCTCCTGATCTAATGGCGCATTTACAAAACAGTGCGGAGCTCGCTTTCAGCGTGCCGAGCCGTGCGTGGCCCGTTTTTGGTTGCGTGTCCACTAGGCGTAGTACCGGCTAGCGGGTACTATTTCACAGTTTTCTGGCCCCATAAAATTGAGGTTCTTTCCGGGCCAACCACCAGGCTGAGTCGGGCTGAGTATGCTAAACTAGAGAAAGAATCGATGGCAAGGGGGCTACAACTACAACAAGATGAACATATTTGACCGTGATTTAATTGTAATACACGTTTCAAAATGATGCCGAAGTAACAACATACTGATACCGGTTAGTAAAAACCATGAATTAATGCTTTGACAAGTCTGCAGACAGACGGCAGGCGGAATTTTTTTTAAATGGGTGTTTTCTGAATGGAGATCGGCTAAGCTAACGCAGCATATGCTCCGACCGTCCACACTCACAACAACGGCCTATACAGACATAAATAAACCAGCGACTGTATTCGCCATGACACAGACAGCCTGTGGTTTGTTCATGTTTAACTTTTGTCTAGTTTCTGAACAGATATGAGGAGCTGTGAGCTTGAGTGCTAACAGCTAACGGCTGTGTTGTTTTTCTGGGGTTCTCACTGAAGATGACGTCACGGCTCCGCCTACACTGCGTTGCTATAGATACTACCCCAGTTCCCATTAGGGCTGTAACGATACACTAATCTCACGATACACGATATTGAGCTCACGATACGATATATATCACGATATTCAGCCAACGATTCGATTCGATACGATTCGATATAATTCGATATACTTACATCATTTTCTGAAAGATTTTAAAAAGGGACAGTGTGATTTTGGTGACATCTTGTGAGTGTTCCATTGACTTGGATTGAATTAATTCTACTGAAAACTGAAAACTGAAAGCATCAATTATACAATATATGGCTCTGACTAGACAGAGTCTACAGCTTGCAAATGCTGGACAAAATGACTCAAAAGATGTGGTGAGAAAATTTGTTTCATTTATTGAAACAGTGCCAACTGTAGTTTACAAGCCTTTGAAACGTAAGTACATAAAGTGCAGTATCACAATGGAGAATTAAAAGGTGCAGCAGGTGGCCTGTTCTGAACAGATTCTTTTACAGCATTTTTAGCTTAACACAGAATATGAGGTAGCCAATAATTCAAGTCACTAAGAACAACATTTAATGTACCTGCCAATAATTCAAGTCCAAAGGAGTAACATTTAAGCCAAAAACACTAAACAGAAAGGCTCCTCTCTACATAACTGCATCTACATTGTCTTCAGATTTTTGTTCAGGAATATAATCTGATCAACGTGGTCTGGGAGAAGTGCACTGCTCTGAGCAGTGACGATGGCCCATTCCCAAACCGCCCCCTACACCCTACCCCTCCGTTTGCGCGTTCACACGGAGGTTCCGCCTACGAGTGTGGAGCGGTGTTGGAGGGGGAGTGGGCTATCAAGCCCTCAAAAAGCAAGTCTGCAGCGGTGCTGACTTGAGACCGGTCTCTACCTGACCGGAGTCGCGCTGTGTGTGTCCGCTGCTGTCAAGCTGTTAACAAGTAGTTCCAGCAAACATCCACTGATAAACTGCGATGTTAACAACCTCATGATAACCTCATATGTTTTAACTTAGGATCATACCAGTGTTTAGTCTAGAAATAGGTAAATGTGTGCATTTTATTATAAAGTTGTGTATATTTACAGACCGTTGCAAAAACTAAGAAGCTTATAAACATCAGGTTTAAAACTAAAAGAGCTTTGAAACACAATGAAAGATGTTAGGAGTTTTATTTGAGTTATTAATTTAAACTTTTTGTCTAAGAGATGCTGATTTGGAACCGTTTTTACATACAGTTACGGCATTTCCTGTTTCTGCCGGAGAGAGGGGAGGCCGTCCCAAAGCTTGCTGCTGTATTTACTCCCTCCATCTGACAGGAGGGAGCCTCGTTGAGCTGCGAGTGTGGCTACAGACGGAGTTTACTCCGTCGAGGGAGTGGTTTGGGATTGGGCCGATATCTCCGGCAGTAGAGAAGACCCTCTCCAGTGTGGTTAATGTTTGCCGCCATACTCCTGAACCGCTTCGCACTCACTGCGAGAAGAAGACACCGGCGTCTGTGTATCTAGAAATGCTCTACAGCGACACTAGCGAATCGGCTGGCTGACGTAATCGCTCTTCATGCAAAGCGAACGGGGGGGAATGGGCAGCGAGCAGAGTGCCAGGCGGAACACGGGGGATTTGAATGGGAGTTAATGTATCGATACCCGCGGCTGAAATATCGATACTTTCTCGGGAAACAAAATATCGATATATATCGCAGGATCGATTAAATTGCACAGCCCTAAGTGTAATGGTTCTGACCTGCACCTTAGCACACACACAACTACACGCACACACGGATGACCCCCCCCATTTTGCTGTTTTATGTTATTATTATTATTATTTGTATGTATTTATCTTTTCATATGTCTATTTTATTATTATTATTGATCTCTTTTTGTCTTATGTTGGCTATGTAGATACAGCTAAATGAAAATGGAAAAACTGTTAATCAAAATGTGAACATGTGTGTATAATGAAACTGAAATCGGAAATAAAAACTAAGTTAAAAAAAAAAAAAAAATTGATATTCAATTGAAAAGATCACCAAAACCAAAGCATTTGCATGAATCTGATCCTGTTAAAAGTATTGGTTAAGTACTTTGTATTTAAGTACTTTAAAACAAAAAACAGCCTTGTATTTCTTGTTCCTGAGTGTATGCACCCACCAGTGAGTTCTCCCTGCGCTCTGGGTGGGTGAGGAGCTTGGTGTCTGGCAGGGTGTCGAAGGGAGACAGAGTTACATCGTCATCCTCCACACTGTCCAACATCTCGCTCAGGGCCGACAGCAGGGTCTCTCTCTCCTCCTCCGCTCCACTCTTATCCTGGAAATGGAAATGCAAAGTGTTCAGTTTTATTCTTTCATACACAAAATTAATTTTCTACCAAAATTCCACATGTGTCAACTAGTTTCCTGAATGAGAGTAAGTAGAACAAACTTGAACAAACATAAAAAGGTGCCATCTTTTAAACTTCTGATGTACTGTGAGGTTATGTCTGACCTCTGATGCGACAGTGGAGTCTTCAAAAATTGCCAGGATTGAGTGATCCACGCAGGACTGAGCGTCCATCTCCACGGCTTCCATGTCACGTCTACTCAAGAGCAACTGCAGGGAATACAGACGCACAAATATATTATATCACACCCCTGTGCTTTAATTCACACTGATCTAATCTAATCCTACCTCCTGCTATTTTAAAATATTTCTTGTCAATTCACTTGTTCAATTAAATAACGACAAATGCAGATCGCAACTTCTGAAAGCCAAAGTTCATGTATTCTAATGTCAGATTTTGTCAAATCAACAGTCCAAAACTAAAATAGATTTGATTCCCTATCACTGAATACAAAAAAAAGTGAAACTTGTTAGTTTCAGGCATGTTAGCTTAACTAATACCTTAAAATAGTTATCATTCCAGCTCTACAAACACTGAAAACAATTGCAGACAAATATCATTCATAGACTTTAATAAATAACTAACTCAGAGTCCAGATTAAGACTAACCACTACATACAAATACATGACATTCAAAAGAACAACAAAACTTGTGCTTTATAAAGAAAATGTGTTTAACATGTATACTTTATTGTATGTTTAATATGTTAATAAGATCATGTCTTTTGTTTGTTATTGGGTAGCATATACATTAGTACATGATATTTGAACATTTAATGATTGAATACTTAATTATACGGTGTATAATCCATAAGTATTTGTTAACGTAGTAGTGTATCGAAGAGCAATGCCTACAACTAATAATGTTTTTTAGATCATTAAGGTGTGCTAGTAGGATAGACAGAAGGATGTTCATTATTGATCCCATACTGGTCAGTATAGACAGGAGGCAGAGTGAGGGGCCCTAGAGGCTAGAGCATATCCGTATGAATGAGTCACTAATCTGTAGTGTATAGCAGCTATGGGAAGTTGAAACAACTGCTCTGTCAGGGCCTGTACTGTAATAAGCAGACATTTAAACCATGTCGAAAAAGCTTTTTAATGACAATACATCAGGTTGTATGAAGTTTACCGCAAAACAAGCACGGTGAAAATGAGAGTATTGTATAAAAAGCGACATAGCGGGGGGACAGTGCTGGGCGCAGTGCTGAGGGTGCAGCCTGAACATATTGTACTTCAGAGGAAACTAACCGGCAGCTTTCGAGTGTAAATCAATGACCACGGAGATTGTGTTAACGACATAGCCGTACTTGTCATTGAGCAGTTCTGTAACTGCACACTATCTTATTAATGGAGCTGCTCAGCCAACTCCCCGGTTAATACCTCGGTAATACTACAAGCCTCATTCAGCCACGTGTCGCTATGCGCGCATGTGGCCTCGCTCGCCAGTAAAATACCCCGTTACTAACACGTCGAAACCCGCGTGTGTGCAGCTATTTGGGTGTCACTTAGTTAAAATGAGCAAACCGGTACCTCATTGGGGTTGTTGCTGGTCAGAAAGTCGCTGTTCCCGGCATTTAAATCCTCGACATTCCCCCTCCACCGCACCGCCATCTTGCTGCTCCACATGGTCCGCTGGGAGGCCGGAGAGAGACACGTGGTCCGCGAGTGGAAGCGCGGGAAAACCACCGACCTGGGATCAGATTGAGACCCCCAGCTCCACTAGTGGAAGCAAAGAGAGGAGTTGAAATCCGATCCTAGGTCAGCTGTATATCCTGTGAAGTCCTCATTGATTGAGTTATCTCTTGAAAACTAGCTACAGGTTTTATTTTGCTGCAGATACTCAGCAGGTAATGCACATACGCTCCTTTTCCATTGAATATTTGTTAAATATGGTAGATAAATATAAATAAGTGGTCTGTTTAAGAAACATGTGTTCATTTCTCTGTGACAGCTAATACATGGAACTAATGTTTGTTTCAGCTTCCATATCACATTTGTAGCATTTATAAAAAATGTGGCTGGACTTTAAATACAGTCTATGCTTTAAATACAGGATTTTTTTACATTTACATTTTTTTGTATTGCTCAAAAGCGACACCTTGCGTCCGAATGACAACACCAACATTTCTTGCCTAATGCACATAAAGCAGATGCATGACAGGCGACAGAAATAACCCAAATACACTATCACACAGCAGGCTTTATATTGGCTTACCCGTAATATAGGCTAACAATCCGAGGTGGAAGAAGTACTCAGATCTTGTACTTAAGTAAAAGTACCAGAGTGTATAGTGTACTCTGTTACAAGTAAAAGTCTTGCGATCAAAAATATTACTCAAGTTAAAGTACAAAAGCATTACCATGAAAATACATTTAAATTACCTAAAGTAAAAGTACTTTCAAAATACTATGTATTATATGTTTTCATTATATTGATGTATTAATGTGTTTATCAAAGCTGGTAAAGGTGCAGCTTTTAATAACTTTATATATTGCAGGGTAGCTTGTGAATTTACTCCAGGTGTAACTAAAGTCTAATTTAAGAGTTGATTATATATCACATCATTAATCAAAATCTGTAAAGTGACTAAAGGTATTAAATAAATGTAGTGGAGTAAAAGTACATGATCACCTCTAAATTGTAGTTGAGTAGAAGTACAAAGTAGCATAAAATGGGAATGCTGAAGTAAAGTACAAGTATCTCAAAATTGTAGTACAGTACTTCAGTAAATGTACTTAGTTACTTCCCACCTCTGCTAACAATCATATTATAATCAAATGTACCAACTAATACAGACAGGCCTGCAGGTAGTTTTGGAAATGTACAGGCTTAAGGACTTGTGATAGGCAGCATTTCAGAACAATACAATATACAATACAGCTTTCTTTGTAAAGCACTTTAAAACCTCAAGAAAGCAAAGATAAATAAATAAAATACAAAAATGACAGACCACTACATAGGGTAAATTAAAAATAAATAAACAATAATAACAACAATAAACAAGAACAAAATAATAACAGGCATATAGTTAAAACACTACTAGACTATTTTAAAAGCCACAATCTACAAAGTGTTGAACGACAGGTGGGTTTTAAGAAGCAATTTAAAAACAGACAGTGTACAATGAGTGGAAACACTTATCTTGAAATTGAAAGAAACTCTATATCTTAAAAGCTCCATTATTTCCCATGTTATAATAAATTAGAACATCATGAAAAAATCCAAGTAGGGTAGACATAAAATGTGGTCATTTTATAATCAACCCTTATCCTTGGTTTAGGTGTGTCAAACAGCAAAGTAAAGAATTTATCTGCTTCCTGTGGCCTGCTTCATACCCAGAACAAACATAGATTATCTTCATGTTCAGACAATGCAATATTGATGTGTTGACTTGGCTGATTAATGTGTGTACACACCCTCCAACAATACCTGGTTCACTGTCAGGGCCTAACAACTCTGTTACTAACCCGTTTGAAATGGCACCTTCAGGTGCCTGAGAGACATGCCTGCACACAAATAATGTAATGCACAGCAGTCTAGGATAGTTTTTATTTTTCTTGATATATTGTGACTTTAATTAAATTACACCTTTATTCCCAGACTTCTCAAAGAACACATTCAAATATGCAGAACGTTTTTAACATTAGCACGCGAGCAAAGTCCAGGGGTTTGAAAATGATTAAAATCAACTAATTAGCAATGAGAATAGGGACCACATGCACATTTAACAATTACAAACAAACACACAAAGGAGGGGGTAAGAGTTAATGCACACACATTTGTTGAATCAGCGTAAATATTTGAAAGCAATACACAATGCCTTAGAGCCTTACTGCAAATGATTCTAGTATATCTTTATATATTTTTGGGTCTCTTTACATAACTAGACATTTCCATCATTTAAAAAAAGGGAAAATGAGTCCATAAAAGATATAGCAATCATCCATATCTAAATTAAAGTGCTTGATGCTCAAATTTGACCTTTTAACTTGAATTATTTGCAAAAATAATGCCACCCCAACAACCTCTACATGTCCTATATAGCTTCAGTTTTAAGTCTTTGAAATACTTAAAATGTGTTCAGGCCTCAGAAAGTATTTGTACAGGCACTATAATATTATGATTGAATACATTTAAATGCATTCATGGCTTGTTTTCACATGACGTATCGTCTTGTTCAGGCCCTGCATGACTCTGGAGTCCCATGAATCAGAACCAGCGTTATAATAAATATATGTTTTGTTTACACTCCACCCTCCACTGCTTCACACTGATATATGACGAATACTAATTATAACGTCTGCAAACACAGCTGTCTAAGACCCACAGCAGCAGCACACATCATGCTCCACTGATAAATCTTATTATGGACTTTGGCTGGTTGAAAACATTTACATAATAAGTACAGCAGCCAATTTCCCCCCTCTTATGTCTTAGTAAGCATCTCATCAGCATGTTTCAGTGGTGCAGGAGTTGGACACTCCTTTTACTTAATCCAGTCTAACCAGTCCAGCTTGACTAACTGACATCTTGTTCAGACCCACCCTGTGCCTTAAACAGTTTTGGATCAACAGTGCTAAAACTTCAGGTTAAATAGAATATTATATATATCCTATATTGGATCGTCATTCATCTCGTCCCTCTAGAAACAGATACACTGTTGGTGTGAATGAGCTATTATTAACACTTAACACATTCTATCTAGTTGTCATGCTGTTGTCTCAAAATACCAAGAAGAGTATTGCCCCGAAATGCAGGAAGGTATATCCTTTATGTATTGGCATTGGGATTTTTGGCATCTTCCTTTTAAGATCATTTTTGCATATGGTATAACTTTTGGGTCAATGGGAATAATAGAATAACATTTAAATGCTGTTTTGAAATACTTCTACAGCATTTTAGAGGCACTGAATTATGACACACTTTAATATTTTGAGATAAACCGGCCCTGTACTGTATCGGATAATATTCTATCCAGCGTACAATGAAGATAAGTGTGGTGAGGTTTTTTCTCCACTAGATGGGGATGTTACACATCTCCCACTCCCACTTTAACTTTTAGCCCTCTAAAGTTCTGAATGAGTTAATTCCCATTAGCTGATATCCAGTAATGCATCAGATATTCACATCTGAATGAAACAGCTGCATAATTAATTCAGGTTCGCCACCTGTTCATGTTTTGTGGAGTTATCTTGTATCATCTTCCTGTTTGTCTATGGAGGGCTATGGATGTGTCTGGCCTGTTATCTCGTGCATACCAGCAAGGAGTTGACCTTTCTGCTGAATGTCATGACGGTATACAGAGTCTGAATTAGATTAGTTGGGAGGGAAATATGCTCACAGACACACACTTTAACAAGACAGCACATATTCTCTGTTCATTTAAAATAAATAAGTAGACAACTCCTTGGAACTTCCTCGGTTCATTATTTACATTAACACAAGTATTCTTTGCGTAAAGCATTTTCTCAAATATAATGGTCCAATATGCAACCAGGCAATATTTGTTTGAATAATGTGCTTATTTGCATGTTATCCTGACAAAAAAAAGGTTTGTTTTAAGGAATGACACTGAAAAGTTTGGTGTTAGTACTACCGAAGTGGATATTTCTGGCTCAGAATATCGGCTTTTAAAGTTATACATTGTATATTTACATACATTTTGCAGACACTACAGGTGACACAGGGTAAACATTTAACAATTGAAACCACCAGGAAACCTCCCCAGTTAATAATATATATATATATCTTTCTATGTGTTACAAATGTTTCTAAATATACAAATGAGGCATTACCTAGACTTAAAAATAAAACATTTGTAAAATTACACATACATATCTACCAGTCCAAAAGAAGACAGCTTAAACTCTTGAAACTGACCCCAAAAATAATGCCTCTAATGTGTCGTCTCAATCCCACATCTTCCTCCATAATGTTGCTTTATCTCTCTTTACCCCCGTCGCGCTTACTCACACAGCCCCCCCCTCGCTTCATTGCCCACAACTCTTGAAGCACATTACTGTTTGAAATGGGGCCAAAGCATCCTCCCGTCTCCAGCGGGTGAGGTGCGAGTGTGTGCAGAGGCATGTGTATAAGTGTAAGTGTGTTCAGGGGGGGCGGTTGTGTCTAACTGGGTCACCTTACTGCAGCATCCAGCCACCATGTCAGTACATGGCCCCACACACTCAGACACACACATATATTTAACCTACTCTGTCTTCCTTTCCACTCGGGCTACTTTTGGTTTGAAATACAAAATGCACTCACTAATTTTCCCTCATTCCCTTAAGCTAAATGTGTCAGACGTTACTCTCATTCTCTGGGGGGAAAGAGGAAGTAGAGTAAAGAAAGAAAGAAAAAACATCTTTCTTGTGTTTTTCTTCCATGTTCCTCTCGCTCGACATCTCTCCCTCCTCCCTCTCTCACTCTTGACCTGCAGGAGTCTCCCACAGTGCTCCTTTGGCATGTTTGAATTTTTAAAAAACCCACAAGGTCTGAGGAGTCAGGTATGTGCTTTCCCCTCTGCTTCCTGCACACGCACTTCTTTAACCTTTCACATATTGTGTAACGCTGGAGGCCGTGTGTTTATAAAAAGGCAAAAGACCTGTGATCTTTAACTTGACACCTTCTCCACTCAGGCGTTACTTTGAGGCTGCAGA